AAAAAAAAAAAAAAGAAAAAAAAAAAAAGAAGCTAGGCAGGCAGGCAGCGGGAGCAGCGAGCTCCCCGCCTGCCCCGGGGGGAGCGGGGCTGGGGCCAAGCAAAGCGGAAAGGGGGAGGCGCCCCGCTGGGCTGGGCGCGGGGCAGGAGAGGAGGCGGAGGGCACCCCGCGGAGCCGGTGCGGAGGCGGGGGCCGCGCGGAGCGGCGCGGAGCTGGGGGGAAAAGCGGGAGCCGGAGCGGAGCCCTGACCGCTTGTTTTTGGAATGATTTCAGCTATCTCCAGCCCCTGGCTCACCCAGCTGTCCCATTTTTGCGATGTTGCAGCTTTCACGGCCAACAGCCTGAGCAGCCTGAACGCCTCCGGGGGGTACCACCTCTCCCCCTCCCCGGGGGACCCGTACGGACAGCATGAGCCGCCGCACTACGAGCCTTGCACGGCTCAGCAGCACCCGCACCCGCCGCCCCAGCCCCAGCACGGCTATCCTTTCGGCGGGGCGGCGGCGGCGGCCGGGACCAACCCGCCGCCCCCAGGCCCCGAGCAGCCCGAGGGCGCCGGTGGAGCCGCTGCCGGGCCGAACGCAGTCTCGGGCTGCTCTGCGGGGGCTGCCGCCGCGGCCAAGGCGCCGGTGAAGAAGAACCCGAAGGTGGCAAACGTGAGCGTCCAACTAGAGATGAAGGCGTTGTGGGACGAGTTCAACCAGCTGGGCACCGAGATGATCGTCACCAAGGCAGGCAGGTCAGTGCGGAGCTCCCGAGCGGCCCCGGCTCTCCAGCCGCTCCCTCCGGACCCGGGCTCCCAGGCCAGTCGGGGCGGGAGAGTCCGATGCGAGTGGTTGAATTATCAGTTTGGGGGGAGATTGAAGCTGCTGCCCAAGGGGGAGTCGCGGAGCGGCTCGGCCCAGCGGTCGCCGTCATTTGATCCTTGCGCTTCTCCTGGGGCGAAATCTGCGAGCTCTTGCGGCCCGAAGGCCTCGGTGCTGCGGAAGAACGCGCGGCTGCTGCTGCGGGCTGACGGCGAAGGCGTGCGGAGGACGGCAGGCAGGGCACTGTGTTTCACTCTCGCTTAAAAGGGCGCTGTGCTCCTCCAGGCGCCTTCGGCTGTGACCCCACACGGGACTTCGTTCCGTGTTTACGGAGAACAGTTTGTGTTCCTGGGGCGGACAGCAACGATACGGGGGAAGGAAAAAAACAACACACAAACTGTACAAAACCTGCTAAATACGTTCTTAGCACGGGCAGATGTTTTCCTTCCGGCAGAGATTCGAACAGACCCTAATTCTGCACCTTGAAACGTGTTCTAGGGCTGTTGCGTTTCCCAATTATTGAGTAAGGAGCCCGGCTGAACGCAGCTCCTCTTGGCTCTGCTCCGGCCGCTGCGGCGCGGTTCCGGGGCCAGGACCCCGCTCCTGGGCAGGGAACAAAGAAAGCGGCTGATGCGATCACGTTAGGAACGAGCAAAACATATGGGGGGAAGAGGAGTCCCAATTACAGTTGTTAGTTACTGCATTTAATGGAGATCCCCGGGAAGCGCCGCGGCCGCGGTGGTTCGGGCAGAGCTACGAGGCTTTCCCCGCCAGGCTCCGGCAGAGCTGCGAATTGTCCAGGCTCTGAGTCCTCCCTTGGTTTAAAGCGATCCGGCGCGGGGGAGAAAAGAAAAACAAACAAATTAAGGAATCCCCCGTTGCTCGCTCTCACTTCACTCTGGGGCTGACTGCGGCGGGATGGCCGGCCGCGGGAGAGGGTCGGACTCCGCTCCGAACGGTCTGGCAAAAGCTGTGACCGCGGCCGTGCGCTCCCGCTCTCCCATCAGCGATTCTGAGGGTCCCGAGAGTGCAAAAAAAAAAAAAAAAAACCA